TATTATGTATTACTTATTATAATATGTAAATATTTTATACCTAAATAAATATTTATTTTACATTTCGTTTAGTTCTAATTGTTTCAATGCTTCATATGAGTTTTGAGTCTAGAAACTCTTTAATTTAGAGCCAACTACTAACGAGGCTCCACATCGGATGAAATAATGTTTTACCGTTATATTATCAACTGTCACTTATTTGGTACAGAATAAATAATTAGATTTTCTGATAAATTATTAGAGTAGGTTATTCTTTGTATTTCATAATAATTGAATATGCATAGTTATTTCATTTAGTTCTAAATCAATTAATGAGTGTGTATTAATTGGGGTGTCTCATTTCCCCGAATATTATATTGTTTCCATTAAAATTATCAAAGGTACCTATAAAACTTATTTACATATAAATACCCATGCTTAGCTTTTATGATGATAAGTGCCAAACTATTAATCATTTAAAATGTGATATAGATATATATACTTATAATTATAATATGTATATTTTATAAACTATATATACAATCATACATTTTCATAGTTAGGTACTGACGTAAGTACATACTGTAAAGGTAATCATTTATAAACATAAGTTACCTAGAAATATAATGTAACTATAAATAACCTTTAAGGTCCCCCACCCCCATACACTACAAGGGTGGCGGCGAATTGCTGCAGGACACATTTCACCTCTCACCGCGGCGGTAAAGCCAAGACAATATTGAATTTAACGCCATCGCTGCAGTGTGTGTGGACCTTTAATATACTAAACATTATTGAACATTGATTTAATGTATATTATCCTCCATCTCTCATAAGTCATACCTAACTAGGACGAAGATTTAAATCCAAATAGCATTTTGATTGTGTCCGAGCACATTATGCTTACCAAGCATAAAATTTGTTTTATACATATCAAATAAAATTATAATACAACTTTTATTTTGAATTTTTTTATAACTTTAAAGCATATTATGTTCATTTTGTATGAGCTGATATGATTTGAAAAGAATTTTTGATTTAATTTTCCCCCTAAAAATAAAATAAAAATAAAAATCTTATTTATTTTATTTTGTATTATTATTTTTATTACATATTATTATGTATTTAGTATTTACCTATTATATGTACGACACTGTGGGAATAATAAATTATGTACCGGAAAAATCAGCGACGATCTGAAAATCGACATTTTTGTTATGTGCATATACATTTAGGTAGGTACTATAGGTAATATATTATGTATATAAGTATATTGTATATTATATATAGGTAGCTACTGTATAATGTAAATTTATTATAGTTTATAATATATAGGATGATCCATTTAACGTAAGACACTCATTAATTCAGAAGAAACTAAGATTTTAAAAATATTTCTTTTAAATAATTTTAGGTCATTACAATACAATATTTTTGGAAAACAATTATAATGGGTACTTATTTTATCATTATCATTTTTTTTAAATTTTTACTCTTTTGAATGACAATATACGTGTTGAATTCCTCATTCCTAAGCAGAACATTTTTTTGACTAGGTACTACAATGTATAAAAATAAAATTTTTGACGAGTATTTTATTAGTTGTTACTTGTTAGTGTATTGCGTATTTAAAGTTTTGATGTGTATTGATGGCCAACATTTTGCGGAGTGCCCCTGTAACTCACACTCCGCACATCAAAACTTTAAATACTTATAAAGTTATAACTACATGTCTAAAATTCGATTTGTATAGGTACATTGAAGTATTCCAAAAACTCGTCTACTTTGGAATAAAAAATTAAAAGGGTCGGTAAGTGGGTGTCGCTCTGCGGTACAGTAGGTTACAAGTTGGACACTGTAATGGATTGTATTAAATTTGAATTCAATGATTATGATATATTATCATTGTATAAAAAAAACGATTCTGAGCGAAGAAAGTCTGTCAGTCTATGACATTTGTTTGTTATAGGTAGGAAAACTTATTCAACATCTTCTATTAACATTTCGTATAGGTATGAAAATTCAAAGAAAAACTTTTATGAATTTCTACCTAAATAATAATTTACAACATTTAAAAAATTTCTCATGGCTATTAATAGCTGAAAAAGTTTCAAAAGTGTTTGAAAATATTACCGTACATGGATAATGGTCGTTTTAACATTTGGTAAAAATTTCAAGTATCTTTTTCAAGTTCATTCGTTTTTAAGTTGCAACAAAATTTCAAAAATTGATTGATGAAAATTCTTTAATTTACCTATGAAAATAAAATATCGTAAAAATTTAAATTCAAACACTCGTAAAAAATTAATTTTGCTTTTCGGTAAACTTTTTTTTTTGATTAAGGTAGGTAAAATTGGGAGGAGTCTCCTTTCAACATTTATAATGTAAGCTTTGAAAAGTAAACCATTTATAAATTTGCAATTGAAAAATTTTAGATATTTTGTTGAATTTCGTCAAAATTTGAGCTTCAATTGTATATAAATAAAAATCGTGCATATGAACTTTTGAACTCACATTTGTAAAACGTCTAAGGAATCTTGTATTGTTTCAAATAATTTAGCGTTGGTGGCAGATGAGCTGAAGTCGGTTGATTTTTGTTCAAATTTTGAAGACACCCCCTCCCCCACCCTGAGCCACTCTACTAATCAGCTGATTTTCTATCGTATTCAGCAACGCCGATTTCATTAGCTACAAAAATGTCCAGGAAGCCAAAATGGGTGAGGTCAAACCGTCAGTAGCTCCCTGTCTATATTGGTTATTATTGTATATGGGTTGCGAGTAAGACCCCGAGAGAAAGAGAGAAAGAACATCAATACAACACAGAACGCTTAATGTGAAAATGAGACTCAATATTTCATATTTTCATACAACCAACATCGTACTTTCGAGCAACGTATAGGTACCCACGATTCGCCTGTCCGCAATGATTAATAATCTTGAGATGTTATTGACGATTGACCGATTTCATTTAACATCGTTGTTATTGGGTTAAGCTTTTGCAATAGCTTACTGCATAAATTCGTATTCACGTAAGATATTTCAAACGTTTAATGAATAAATCATATTAGTATATTATTATACAGTATTTTTGCAGACAGTTAAATTATTATTTTTCAGTAAGTTGGTTTCAGTGTTTATCTCCTCTGCCGACTACTACTTACTAAATATATTATAGATTTTAGTATAATAATGAACTTATAGACTATGGTCATATTATAATGAATACCATGACCGTTCTTTAGTTGTAAATTAAATTTTAATTCAACCATTTATCATATTATTATATACATCATAATATACGCACAATTAGAATTTCACGCACGGGAAGGTGGACAAATGATATTAACACTTCCTCATCATAAAGTTAGTGATTTTTTTTAGGGGTTTTCACCTTACTTTTGAAAATACATTTTTCGATTTTCATGTTTACTTTTAAACACGGCGTTCAAGAAAAATCTATATTTTATTTCTATGGATTCAACATTATTGGCAAAAATAAAGAGTATTTTCTCTACACAAATAACTAGGTAACTTGAAAATTGTTTAACCAAGTTTTAAAAGGTAATAGTATTAATAACCTTTGAATTATAAGTTATAAGTTAGTTACTCACATAAAGCATTAATAATATAAGAAATTTATTTTTATTTATTACAATAATAATAATAATAATAAATTAAACCATTATGCCTCCCAAGCGTATATTATAATTTGGCATTCGCAATAAACTCTAAAGATTTATAATCTCCATTCATGGTTTCCAATAGTTCAGTGTTAACAAATACATTGTTAATTTAAGTTATTTTAATCTTAGGTTACCTAGGTACCTTCTTAAAAAAAAAATCACTAATAACAACCAAGTGCTTACTGAACCAACATTAACTGGGTTTCTTAATATATATTTAATCATTCTGATTTAGACATACAAAAGTCAATGTAAAATATATTGGGTATTGCAAACGTATTTTAAAATAAGTTTTTTTTTCTGACTAACCATTAGGTACAATAGATTTTAAAACATAATTATAAAATAAATTAAGTACCTACTTACCTACCAATTCTCAAACTTTTTACTTATATTATTATAATTTAACTAACCTACATGTATGTAAATATTTTTAGCTACAACAGGTTACAGCAGATGTTTAGTTACATGTGATATCCAGTGTAAAGATGTTTTTCATGTTAAAAATTTTACAAAAATTACTTAAACCATCGATTTTATAATACAAAGAAAACTAAATAAGCGGTGGCTAGGCTATAGGGATATAAATAATCCCTAGCATGACTAAAATAATGCATAGAACGTAGTTGATGGATCCCATTGCCGTAAAAATATAATTAATTATTGTTTTTCATCGTAACATTAGAGATTGATCCCGATGGCTTATCTAATTCAGTTATTTTAAAAACATAATCAGTGTAAACTTACACGCTTTGTGCTTATTTTATTGCAAATATATAATGTGAAAATTAGTTCAAATAATTAATATTCATTGATTTAGACATTTTATTCACATTTTATTATAAAAATATCAATTCTTGAACCAATTTTATTTATCAATCTATATAATATAATATGTCTATTATATATTTATATTTTCGCTGCAGTACCTACCAGCTATATACTGTGTAGTGTGTTGTCTTAACTCGGTTTTAACTACATAGTCTGCACAGAGTTTTGCATAAATCCCGAATTATGATATTATTTCACTCTCTGTCACTTTCCTACATTAGTAGTATACTTTTACAAATCATAAACGGTTTGATAATTATCGATAAAAAAAAAAGGTTCAAATTGAAGTACCTACCTACGATAATACCAACTTCATGTTTTGATTTGTGCCAAGCTGAAAGGGTATTATTAAGTACTCTTGCAATAATACCAAAGCAAACTTTAAGCAAACATTAATTAAATCTCTTACAAATCCAATGTCCTTATAGGGAGATAATAGTTACTATGTTGATGTAGATAAATAACGATTTTCAGTGTGTAACAATCCACTCGGTTCGCAGCCCGCGAATGAAACTTGCCGCCGACATGGCAAACAACATCAGCACCAACAACAACACTCTGTCAATAAACGATTATTACGATTACGCCGACAGACCAGAGACATACATCGTTCCCGCTTTGTTCGCCATCATATTCGTCATCGGCATGATCGGTAACGTCACTTTGGTGTTGATATTTGTTCGGAACAAGCAGATGAGGAACGTGCCCAATATTTACATAATCAACCTAGCACTGGGTGATTTGTTAGTGATCATCAGCTGCGTGCCGTTTACGTCTACCGTATATACGGTAAGAACTGAGAATTCCGAGTATGAACCACAAGCAATTATTGTAATATAATATTGTATATAATATAGTCATATATTTTATCCGGGGTGATTAACCGAGCACTCCCATTTCATCCTTAAAATGTAGGTAGGTACATTGGTGAAAATGAAATATTAGTGCGCCTTGGATGTTTTCCATTCATTTACATTGAGATTCTGTTGGAATTGTTCTTGTAGCTTGTACTTGAGAAGTCAACAATTCCCAGTCTTTGGTTAAATACATCCGAGCTGAGCGATGAATGTACCTGCCTATTGGTTTTACAATGTGTGTTTTGTTTAGTTTCTGTCAACACCTGTTGGAGCAGTAAAAATGAACGAATTTTCAATTTATAAGTAGTGTGGTTTCGGTTAGCAAATTGGATTTATTTATTATTTGGATATAGAAGGTTGCAATAAGAATTTGCTCGAGACATTCTTGCGGCATTGGTTTCACATTTTTTTTTAGTAAGAAAACTATTTATTGGTATAAATCAATAACTATACTTTTTCATTTATCCCGATCAATTGCACTAAGTCAGACAGTGAACTTCACGACTGTGTAAGCACTCGTCCGTAATAATCATATTGTTCGTTTGCCCAACACAGTTCCCTTCGTGGCCTTACGGTCTGGCCGTGTGCAAAGTGTCGGAGACGGCCAAGGACGTTTCGATCGGCGTTTCCGTGTTCACGTTGACCGCGCTAAGCGCCGACCGTTATTTTGCCATCGTGAATCCGATGCGCAAGATGCACGCGTCCACCGGCGGACGGTTCGCCACCCGGTTCACGTTAACCGTGGCCGCGGCTATCTGGGCGGCGGCCGTGGCGTGCGCCGTACCCGCCGCCCGGTTCTCGTACGTCCGCCAGTTCCGCGTGCACAACGTCACGCTGTTCGAGGCCTGTTACCCGTTCTCCGAGCACCTCGGGCCCACCTATCCCAAGGTCATGGTGACCGTCAAGTTCCTCGTCTACTACGCCGTCCCGCTCGCTGTCATCGCGTGCTTCTACGTGCTCATCGCTCGGTACCTGGTGCACACCACCAACAACATGCCCGGCGAACTTCAGGTGTGGTTATATCATATTTATAATAATAAGTATAATATTATAAGTATTACATTATTTAAATAATACCTGTATATGGTTATGACAAGAAATCAGGTCGTTTACCTATGCATAATATATATCATAATAATTAGGTACAGAGAAGTTAACAGAACCTATTAAAAGTATAACATTATGTAACATATTTATAGGTATTATTGTATTAATGTATTATACATTGTTAACACAATGGAAGTTATAAGCAATAACTTGTTGATATATTTTTACATTTTAGGGACAAATACGTCAAGTTCGAGCTCGAAAAAAAGTTGCTAAAGCAGTGCTCGCCTTTGTGTTGATGTTTGCCATCTGCTTTCTACCTCATCACATTTTCATGCTGTGGTTTTACAACTATCCCAAATCAACGGACGAGTACAACACTTTCTGGCATGTATTACGAATTGTTGGATTTTGTCTAAGTTTCATAAACTCTTGTATCAACCCTATTGCCCTGTATTTGGTGAGTGGTACTTTTCGCAAACATTTCGACAAGCATTTGTTCTGGTGGTGCATAGAATCTTCGACAGCCACCACGGAATCTAACTTGTTCGTGATAAAAAAGAACGGAATCGTGAGTCGAGACATAAAAATTACAGAGTCCATATCGATGCACACAGTTACAAACAAAAATCGAAGTAATAAGACTTTTACTATGACCACGAATATTGTAGGTCAAAATATCAAGTGCACCCAACAAGGGATGAAAGAAGGGTGGATGCCACCCTCTATATAATATGTTTAAACATATTCCCATAACTATTTTCATGTGTATACCTTATAAAGGTATAGAATTAAATAAATAATGTGTTATCAAAATTCCGATAACATTAGTTTTACAATTATTGATTTAATTGAATTATCTTTTTATAATCGAAATGATTTTTTTTGTTTGTATACCTTTATAATATATATTAATATATTATATTATAGCTGGCCACATTGCGGTAATTTCGCCGTCTAGACCAAACGGTTTTCCTAGGATAATAATATAATATAATAGGTGTAATGAAAAACTATAACATATTGTTATGGACAAAGGCCGTTTCGACCTATATCACCGGTTCGTTTACCTATTATAAGTTGGCGACACATTATTACTGGTATTTTGGTGCAATGTAATGCACAGTAGTGTGTCAAATGTTACATTTTTAATTGGTTCGTCACACAGCAAAATTGGTACGTTTTAAGTATTATATCTGTCGAACATCAAAGGTTGTTTCGTTTGGGGTATGATTATATGTATATAAGTGTATCCGACACAAAGGCACGTACCTATAGTAACCCTACAACTCACTGGGCCAAACAGATGATTCCTAAATAATTGCTAATTAATAATTATTTGTAGATTTAATTTATTGTATTATACTATGAAATATTTGTGTACCTACCTATAACTGATAAGTATAATGTATATACTAGATATTGCATGTACCTACCTAAAACAGTAAGATCCAACTTTCTATATTATGTCCTACATACCTAGGTACCTCTAATATTTGATATATTCTTAATTATTATAAGTTAATTAGAAAATAAGAAATATTATTCAGGATCATAAATCCAAAATAATACATAAAAAATATTATAATTTTCAATTTGATTATAACTATGAAAACGTCACAAAAAAAGTAAATTGTTACGTACTACGTAATATTATAATATGTTTTAGTATTTCAACCAAATTGTATTTTTTTGGTTCTTACCCAATACATATAAGTAATATTTGTTTTTAAAACTGTATTTACTCGTGTACACGATTGTAAAATGTACCACCGTACGGTACATATAATAATACATTTTAATAAAAGTATCTATCTCTATAATACACCTATACCTATCTTGTGTAATTTTATTAAGTACATCATTTAGATATCTAGGTACCTAATTAAAAGTTTAAAAATTATGATTAAAATTGTTTATACATGTGTATTTCTTTTATAATCTATAGAATATTCTAGTTTAAATGTATAATTTATAAGAACCCTCGGAATGTTATCAGATTCTCGACTATAGAATAATGATAATAATTTAACAATTTTGAATAAATGGAAATTAATAGATACCTTCAAACAATATCAAGTTTAGTAACTTATTATAACTTATATTAATACATAGACAAATGTAGGACGTCGGTATATAGGTATATTAGAAACTCAAATAATGTACAGTTCTGAATTTATTTTAAAATTAAGAACAATTAAATTAAAGTTCACAATTCGAACGATATCCAATTATTCATTGTGTATGCTTGAAAATTTAATCTTTTAAATTACAACAAAATTTCATAGAAATGTGAACATTTACAATTATTTAACAAAGGAACACAAAAATTATAAATTATTCGATTCTGTTTTCAAAATCATGATTTCATAATTCTTATCGTACTATCGTATACCAATGACAGAGAATTAGATATATCATTTATGCAGACAATAAACATTTAGTAATTTCGGTATAATTTTCATGATCGTGTGGCGTGTAAGAAGTTTATTCTATTGTATATAGGTACCTATATATACCTAACCGTCCTAACCTATTAAATGTGCAGTATATGTTATTCCATCTTCACATGAATATAAATAATATAATATAGGTATTAGGTTTAGGTCTATATAATAAATATCCTAATAATTTCAGCGTTTTGAAAAATTCTTGTAATTAGGTACTAAACCAGATTCGTTTAAAACAACCAATGAACTCAAAAAGCCCAAAATCATCACGGTTTATAAATTATTTCAAAAATGTTGTATGTTAAGATTGTGTTAGGTTATAATGTTATACAATTTACTTATTATACACAATTTACCTACAATTATTATAGAATGAATATGAATATAGATTTTATGGACAATATTATTTTTAACGAATAAAATAGGAATTTCTGTATTCTATTATTTAATATTGTGTAATACGCGTAGGTACATTTTCTTATACAACCACTTCAATATATGTAATACAGCTTGAATTTGTTATGTAATTAATTTGTAATAAGCTAAAAGCTTATATAATTATACTTTGTTCTTTAACATTTTACAGATTATATTAGATAAATTAAATGACTAAGAACTATTAGTTCTCTAGTGAATAATGTATAATTTGGTTATTTTAAGCAATCTATTTCAAAATAAAATAGTTGTACCCTTGTACTTAAGCTGTTGGAGTGTTTGACTATTTTTAAACATATTATAGTATTTTAGAATATTTCTATATTGTTATTCTGATTTTCACCATTAATTGCTTAAGACAATAACTATAGGTAGTTAATACTAAAATATATAGTTGTTTAAGTTTCAATCATTCATAGTTAAATACAATTGAAAAGTTTTATATCTCAAGATTGAAAACATTTTGTTTGGATACCTGGCTGTAATATATATTAATATTATATTATATGTTTACCTATACTGTACTATATTAGGTATGTATATAATTTATATTCAAATACGACAAAGTATAAGTAAAAAGTAGTATTTTGAGGTAGGTATATTATCAATTTTTATAAATAATGATACATAATATATATTATAGATTACCTACCTATGCTACTTACTTAATATGTTTAATTATTCTTAATTTAGTCTATCTGTTTGTTTCACATTGTATATAACATATTACATTAAAATAACAGTTATAGTCATTTATCGTATTGAATTAATGCATACCAACATATTTTTAAATGTACTCTGACATATTATATCATACATGTTTGAATGAATGTTAATTATTTAACAGTAAATATATATATAATTAATTTATGTTAGTTTCATTAGTTGTGTAAATCAAATGATCAAGAATATTGCATGCGTAATAATATGGTTTCCTTTGACATTAAATTGAGTTTTTATGTTTGTTCATATTGGCATAGAATGAAATTAACTATCACGAAAAAAATTTCAGTAAAAAAATCCAATCATCCTCCACAACTTTTTATGATTTTGAAAACGCAGCACATGAATACAATACTGCGATTTTAATTGTTTTTTTCTGTAAACTAATTTGGTAATAATTGGTATATTCAATTAACATTGAGATAAAGCTTTTAAATTAAAAATACATTAATTAATTTGTTTGAGTCCTTTTGTAATTTTGTATTGATAATAGGTACATCAAATGTATACATAATATTATAACCTGTATAAACCGGAGCTTACACAGCTACACATACTTATAATGTAAAAGTGTAAGTGCAGTAACTATATTTGCAATTTTAATTTTATTACATTTTGACCCTTGTAAGTTGTAAGTAAATAGCTAGTCCTTTTGTATAATATGGTTGTTGGACATAAATGCATAATATCAAGTAACCGAATAGGTATATATAGTCGGTAGGTACCTACTACCTACACATGTCTTCATTAATTTGTAATGTGCTGGAATAATTCATGACAATGTTCTATATTGGTAAGTCTTCTTATTCCACTATTTCCAGTACTTAGACTAATGTAACTTATAGCTTTTTTTAATACACTTTAGGGTTTTAAGTTATAATTCAGTCATTTTTAATATTACTATACCAATATTAAACCCTTTCAAATTTAATATAACTATTTTAGTGAGAGAGGGGGAACTGTCTGCACAAAACTTTATTAAAGATCTATATTGTTTTAAATAATAAATTGAGTTTTGGAGGACTTTGTTTTTCGTACTTACCTAACCTACATTTTTAACATAATGTGGTTAGTGTGTTTCTAACACCCTGTGTTGTTTCGGCAGAACGACAAATACACCTTGTAAGTATTTGGTGGTATTAACAGTGCTCTACAACTGTATATAATATACTAAAAGTTTGATACCAAATAATATAATACAGATTGAATCATAATTTATAAGCAATTATGATTGTATACTGACTGATAACTTTTTTAAACACTCTTTAATCAGTGCTATTCAAGAAAATTGCAAAAACTTCTACAATGTAAGGTAAATTATGTTATTATTATAGGTATACTTATATTATTTTATAGTACACAATTTTACATTTGGATACTGGTCTGTTAATATATATTATATCATCTGTATCTTTATTTTCAGATTAATCTGTACCTATTTTTTTGACTTAAATACATAATGATTTGGAATAACATAATAAATATCTTAAACGAATAAACAATTGTATTATAGGTGTAAGTGTGTAACAAAATTAATTTAATTTATAATTAACATATTGAACATAACGATAATATATATATATATATATTATATAAGTATATAACATATCTTTTAAAAGCATTAAATTTAAATTTAAAATAATAATTCATAGCTTATTTCACTTTAGTGTGTTGCCTAAATCATTTGTAAAACAAAATGGCTTATTAAAAATAAAAACTGTCCTTCTTATTTAAATTACAAAACCATATACCTGTTTTAATTTGGCAGAGGTTTGTAAAATAATAGTCAGTATCCTATAATAGTTGGTAGTAGTAAGTATAATAGTAGTAAGTACATTGTACATCCGTTAATTTAATTTTAAATGTTTATTTTTTTTTTTTTATTGTAAAAAATAATTTGATTACTCGATGAACGTTGAAAAACTGGCACTCAAAAACTATATAAAAAAAAAAATTCAAAAATATATTAGGTGCCGAACAGCACTGCTGTAATTCTGTGTGTGAAAAGTAAAACATTCCATCGTCAAGTTAGCGCATGCCATTATGCTCCAACAATTCATTTTTTCTTTCGACGAACAGCCATCCAATACCCTCCGAAGAGGCAGCTGCAACTGAACATAATATAATATAAGACGGTGCAATGTGACTCAACTGTAAAAAAAACATATTTTTTATCATCCACGATTTAAATATTTAATATCTATACACTCATTAATGTTTTTAATTTTGAAATTAAATAATTGGCTATTTACATAACAACGAAGACAAGTTACCTATACTCGTTATTTTCTATTAATTATACTAAGATCGAGATGCCCATTTAGAATACCTAATGAATCATTAAAAGACTGTATATTAATTTTAAAAAACAGGTATTGATGAAAATAGAACCCTAAAACGAATATAAGTGAATAAATATAGCTAAACAGCTTGATGAATATAATAATAATCGCATGGATATAAAATTGATATCGTTAATCTAATTCTCATATTTGGTCGACAAATTCATCTTCAAAGCATTACTTCTTACCACTTACCAGCGTCCGCGTGTAGTCTATTTTGATATTACTTTTATTTATTTATATTTTCGGGTATGAAAGTACGATTAAATGAGTTGCGAATTTATTCCCACAGTATTTGAAAAATGTTTTCCTTTATATTATATCACTCATATAATTAAGCGATAAATTATATATGTATGTGAATATATATACAATCTAAATTTTTACAATATTATAGGTAAGATAACTGATAATTATATATTACCTATATATTATAATCTATAGGTAATCAAAGGAACGTATAATATGTGACTATAGAAAACTTTTGAATAATATAATCTCTCTAAAAACACTTTTACATTGAAAATATTATTCATCTACTTCATATTTTATTACGCCTCGCTCGACCATCATGCATTTTTTTAATTCGCATGTTTATGCATTCGTAAGAGCATTTCATAGACGCCAAGTCTCCATTTGTGGGATAATTTCTTAAGATAAACACTTTATATTTATTTCTATTATTTTATTAAGATAGTAGTAAAAAAATAGAATGGCAATAAATTCTATTGCAGCATTTTGTTTTCTTTTGCCACTTCCGGTTCTTCACCAACGGACTTCTGATACGTATAATAATATATTTTAATATTATTAGGTACATCAGCGCATTACTGGGCCCCAGACGCGATTCACCGGGAAGAGTAGACCGTTTCTGCATTCGTTGTATGCAAAATAAAATTATAACGCCATATAATACTATAGTAGTTATCGTTACGGTTGCCCGATGACCCTCGTCGCATGCGTCTGAGGAGGGGGAGAGGGTGATGAACGATAAATTTACGCATTCGAAAACTTCCAGCACGGGGGAGGGGGGGATTGAAAAAATTTAAAAAACCTACTGGAAAAAAATCGTCCTTACGGGTTACGGGATGAAAACCGTTGCCGATTATACGAGCACGCCGCACCGCGAGCAACGACACGGCAGCCGCTATTGGCCCCTCGGCCCGCTGTTCCGGTTTCGTTTATATTATTGTTATCATTGTTCGGAAGCCGGCAACAGACCATGTGCTCTCGAGACTTCTGCCGTACCGGAGAGGGGAGAGTTTCGACTGCTCGGCGGGTGGCGCGACGACGAGGGGTTACTCGGCGGCTGCGGCTTCGGCGTGGACGGCGAAGGGTTACGGCGGTGGACCGGGGCCAGGTGTTCGGTTCCATAACCGCCGCCGCGCCGCCGAACCAGTCGTCAGTATGTACGCGCAGTCGCCATGCCCCGGACGTGCGTGTTGTTGTCGTTGTCGTTGTTGTTGTCGTGCGCCGCCTGTGCGCGCGCCGCCACCGCGTCCACTATAGTGTCACCGCCGTCGTTCCGGTCGGCCAACCTCACGGCGGCCGGTCTGCTGGCCGCCACCAAGTATGGAAAAACGGTGTTGGCCGGCGACGAGATCACCGTGGCCGCCCAGGAGTACGCCGACTGTTTGGTGTTCCGCGTGCAGGCCCGTACCCGCGGGTACGTAGCTTTGGGATTCGTGGACCCGTTCGCCTCTTCAGTGGACGTGTTGCTCGCTTGGGTCGACGACGACACCGGCACCGGACACGTAATGGTGAGTTTCGTCCTCGAATAGGACATACAATGTTGTACATCATAGTAGGTTTTATAAGGTCATATCGATAGGTATAAGCCGTAAGTCGTGCTCGGTGACGATGACTTGTGATTTGGGCCGATCTGGGTAGGTAGCTGTGTCCTGCTGGGAGGTGAAGTTTATCCGGTTGATTACCGGTTAATTGGGGCCAATGTAAATTATTAGTCGCGTGGTTCACACCCTCGATCTCTACTGTTGGTTGCGGGGATGGGCAAGAGCTCATGAGAATTTATTCATTGATTTCCTCTTGCTGAGTGTACACCGATGTAAATTCGAGTACCTACTTCAAGTACGTATCTATATATAATATTACATCCCAAGGGAACTATTTGGGGAGCAGGGGTACTTGGGCACCCCTATATTTTTCTACGTCTTATTGGCCTGCCATGCAATTTATAAACGCATCAACGGCCGTTGCATAAAAGATAAAATAAAATATTATGAAAACCATATTGCACATATTATTATTATAATATGTAGAATTTAGTATACCTACGGAGGAAATGTATATTTATTATTTATATATGTGTATTATTGGTAATTGGTATGCAATGCAAAAGCTATTTCTAACTTCCAATTTTCCAATTTTATTAATTTATTAAACTTTTAAATAGGTATAATATAATATAATAAGGGTTGTTCTGGCGTTCTGCAGGAACTATTAAAAAAACTCGAATGACGCCAATGCGATTCTTCTATATGATATAACCTGCACTGCTATATTATCGTAAACATATTATTAAATAACTATAATTTAAATCTTTATGTTTTAATCTTGTGTTACCAATGGTGATTAATCAGCTGCACTCGTGAAATGTATTCCCTGGGCAATCTAGTTTACTACGTTTTTTGGACAATATAATAATATACATGCAACAATGCAAAAGTGACACGCCAAAATATTGCGTCAATTAAGTCGCGGTCACTTATAGCGCACGACGCACGTATCGTTAATGTCACGCTTGGATCATATTATATACTAAGGTAAGGACATTATCTGTGTTCTCTCGTTGGTTTTTTACGATATTTTAATTTTTAAGTGAATTATGAGCATTTTCAAATATTAATATTTTCATACTCATAACTCATTTAAAAATCGTAAAAATACCAACGAGAGGACACAGTTAATGTTCTTACCTTTAGTTTGATAATAGATCAATTTATTCTAATATCAAAACTAACAGTTCACTATTGAAACTGGCGAACGAAAATTTGCTATATCGTATGACGGTAGTTATATCGTAAGTTCAACTCTTTCAATAATATTCTTACTCCGAAAATATCGTGAAACAGATAAAAAAATAATTTGGTGGTGTGTGCAATACTGTTGTGGAATATTCAAAAACACATAATATGTATAAAACAATAATGTAGTAACTATACACAACCCCCAAAGTGAAGTATTTATTAATTTTTCATGGAGGGGGTCCAGGCGGTCCAGCTATAATAGAAAATATATTATTAATATAGATATTAGATGTTTAGATAGGTATTTATGGAGCCAATGGGGGCGGGGGATCCGGACACCATCGACCCTCCCCCCCTTGAATACGCAACTGAATCTTGTCATATTTTGATCTGTCGTCGGCACCGAAACGGATCCGGAAGTACGTTCTATACGGCTATACCGATATCACACGTGCCGTGTAAACGCACACCTTTGTTAATCCGATAGAGCACCCGTACGTTGTTATTATTTTACAGCCCGTAATACCATGTAATACATTCATAATGTTGAGTGTAACAGCGGTGTCGTTATCCACACAAAGCATCAGCTGTAAACTGCGTATAAGTGTATCACCACTACATAGTATAAATTATAATAGCATATTACGCTCGTGACACGTTCTATCCACAAACGACGGGGTTTTCGAGTATAATATTATAGACAAAGAGACCAGAGTGCTATATTATAATATATTATATACTATTTGTCTGAGGAGTTCGTGTTCTCTTCAGTGCAACACTAAAAAATTTAAAAAATCGCGGTTGGCCATGAATTAGCCATATATTACTAAACATTAGTAGATTAATTTATTAAAAACAGTTCATGATAAATAATTAATAAATACTTATTCATATACTGTATTATATTATATTATCATTATCTACCTGCCTACCTATACCTACGGTCCGAGGTTGTTAACATTTTTTAAATTATAGTATTAATTTAGATATATAGGTAATACAAATAAAAATTGTGTAATTTATTGGTCTGCTAATAATAATAATGTAGGTAATAAAAATCTTAACAAATGATGTGAACAATGAATAGCATGAACTAAAAAATATAAGTAAATTGTAAATTGTTTTTTTTCATTATTTGTTATTCGTAAAAATGTTATTTTGTGTATTATCGGTTTTAGTATTTATGTAATGAATAAACATATCTAAAAGTTTGTTAAATAAAAAAAAATATATGAACTAAAATGTAAGTATTATTGCGCTTACTTTTGGAGTAGAATAACAAACAAAACTTAAAGTAACTACTAATACTCTAGATAAATGTTTATATACGATGAATTATGATGTTGTGTATTCCCGTAGAATTTTAAATCATGGTACATAATATCTTTATAGACCTGATGGAATGCACGGGAGCTCCTCGTATATATCATACACGTCCAAAACGTGCTTCTATTGGAACACGTCGTACACTCATATAATATTATATGACAACTTGTTAAACGCGTCTTAAAGCAATTATTGGCGTGACAATCATTTTGATTAAGTATCTCTATTTTAAAGGTCGGTAGTTAATTATCCGCCACGATACCACGATCGCGTGTAGTCGCATTATATATTATATTTTATATTATATATATATTATTGTTATTATTGCAGACCATATTAGACCAAACTCCTTGTTGAAAAAAAACCTAATATTCCATGCGGTTATAGTGTCTACTGAATATTGGAATATAAGGAAAAAAATATTTTTCAAATCCTTTTTACCTGTTTCTTTAGCTGGATATTTTTTTATGATACGCTGTAAAAGAAATGAATGAATAGGATGAATGTAATTCAGATACTACCCGTACCTACTTACGTATTACGATGTGAAAACCAGTAACCCAAGATAATAATACTATAAAATATCAATCTCACGTTATATTATGACTACCGATTTGGGTATGTCTATAAAGCAGCGCATTGGGGATCTAATACCTATCTTAAATTTTCAATACGCCGAAAAAAAAATGTACAACTTAAATGAAAATCTCTATTGTGAAAAAGGATGGTTAGCAAATTTAAATCGTACCTAGTTTTTTTATTTTAATACATTATATTATATTATTATTATTTTACTTTATTAATAACAGTATATTACTATAATTTATTAGTAATGATTAATGATTTATTTATTAGATATGAAACATATCCTTTTGAAACTGACCCCCCCCCCCTTAATTGTATATATATATATTATATATAAGACTTAAATACGTCATATTTTGTATTTATCACTATGGAATCCAACAGAATAATATTCATAAGCATTAAGCAATAAAATATTTATTAGTATATTGTAAGTATATTGGGCAATTGGGGTATAATGTAATACCATTTATAATATTAGATTATAAAATATTATATTTTATATATATTTTTTATATATACTTGTATCTTGTGTGCATATTATATTATTGTGATTTGTGAATTAAACTCGTTCTGCCAATATATTATAATAATTTTATTACGCTCCCACGAACGTGAGCTGTTTAATAACGAAAAACACGCCACAACGGTTCGGGGACGTGCAGTCAGTCATATATACGTCTTTAGACCTCGGTTTTTTTTTTTTGGGCTGGGTTAAGGTGAAGAATAGAGATACAATTTTAAAATTGAATGTATTATGTAGGTACAAACTATAAAAACGATAATTTATTTACGACAGCCTAAATGCGATAGCCAGAGGATCGTACTAATTCTCCCTACCCGCACATTACCTACATAATATATTTTACACAAACATAATATACGAGGCTCGGTTGTGTTTGATGGAAGACAATATTGGTCAGTGGTCACAGCTAATGATTATAAGTTTGTTTTTTTTTTATCAAGAAAAACGGATATTTCAATCTGTATAATCAAATACAATAAGTAATATATATATGTACAAGGCTTGACGGCTTGAGTGGAAGGAGGCGTAGTCTAATATTACGCTACTTCAAATTGATTATAAGTTATAACTTTTAAGTACCACTATGTGAACCATATATTTGAATAGACGGTTTGATTAATAGTGCAATACAATATAATTTGCACTGCAACCTGGTGATTAAAAAAAAAAAATTAAAAACGCGATTGTTTGAAGGCAATAAAACTAATAAAATAAAGCAAACTGTTGTAAAAATATTCTATACCTATAATAGTATAGTGGCTAATGGTTATGACTGCCCTGCAAATACAAATCAAAGTAGAAATTCATTTTTTTCTCATTTTTGAGCATTATCATACAATCTTTATGTATATAGTATATACCGTTCAGATATAAATTTTCTCAAAGGTAGGTAATCCTCGTATTTTGTGCGAGAATACGAAATATATTATAATTTATAATAATGTTTTGATGATTTTTGAGTTTAAAATTTTAATTTCGTAAATAGTACCTATAGTTATATTACCAGAGATATGTTAATATGTTATACTCCGACCAAATAACTAAATGTATCTAAAATTTAACTTATAAGCTAAGATTATAGAGTCAAATGATAATATGTTTAGTATATACCTAAGTAGTAAGTACTTAATAAATATAAATATCATGAAATCAAAAATGTATCGAATAGGTACATTATATTCATATCGATTTAATATTATTATTATTACAAACCTTTTTTTCCCTTACAATTAATATCATGTAAACTTTAATCAAAAATAATAATATTATATGGTACTTATATTAAACTATTAACTTAAAAAATAAAAAATAAACACGTGGCGAAATATATTATTTTAGTTCGAAATTCCATCGCTCAGCACTACACTCGTCGATATTTTTTTTTAACACATTTAGTATAATATAGTATTATAAATTTATTCAGTATATAACACAATCTCCTAGCTGTTTCACGCGATATAGTGGCTTTTCCACATACCGGTAGACATTCTTTTGATCCAAACAGCCCCCGCCCAACTATACATGCTTAGCACCTGCTCGATCGTAAAACGTTGTCATCGTGAGACTCATTTAATTGTCCTATCGTCGCCGACTCAACTTCGCATACACTCGGACAATATATCGGTCTGAACGATATAATATTAAAATTAATTATAAACGGGGTAGGAAAATATTATTATAATATGATTGGAAAAAATACTAATAATAATAAACTCGGTTTGAATTAAAAAAATTAACTATATACAATATGTGCCTACCTATATATATATACTACGGGTGTAATAACTGTAATTTAAAAAAATGCTGGTGTTTTTAATTAAAAGTATAATACTATACACGCGTCATGTTACGATATTTTCAAACTTCAAATCATCGCTATATAGAGTGAATGCGCGTCTTGTTATTTTCCAGAGTTATATTTGGTAAAATATTCAAAATAATTTTGAGTAGGTAATATGTTATCGCAATAACCCGTCTGCAGCTAGGTAGTATATTTTGTGACATAGCTTCGTGAGATAGTTGTTTGACAAAAAAAAAAAAAAAAACGACGATCGTGATTTAAGCGTAACCACGTGTGTCAGACCATGATGTCAGTCTCCCCGGCTATTGTTAAATAAGAATAATAAGAATAATAATAAAAATAATATTACTATAATTGTAGGTACCTATACGATTGTTATCCGTCCGGAAATGAACGCGATATCTGCAGCCCAACCTACATTACGCCGTATACTGCACACGGTGCACACCTACCAATATAATACGCATACAGGGTGAATACGGTGACTGTAAACAGTGTCCACCATGTGTATAGTTTCCATCGGCCCGGAGGATATTCGATTCTTTTTGTTGTTATTATTCTGATTGTTGTTATTAGTGAGAGAAAAGAAACCACTTGTTTTTCCGTCATGGTGTATTAACGGTGGTTTTGAAAAGGGCACGCGCCAGTGGAACATCAACATAATATAGCCGATGCACAGGTGGTGGACGTAATCACGTCCGGTAATTTTTCGATTATTCCTACTTTTTTTTCGGTCAAAACACATTTGCTTGTAACGTGTTATAAGCTTGGTTCATTTTTATATTCTTTCAATGTGTTATTAATATATAACTATACAAGAATAAAATATATTCAAAGAATGTGACTATAATAATTAATATTATATTATGCCTAGGTATATTATTATAAGGATTTCGTATTACCGTATTTGTATAAACTCAATCAATATGATAGCAAACCTTTTTTCTATCAGTACATGTTAGTATAGTATAAAGTCAATTATGTATTATAATTTATAACAAATGAATGATTACATACCTAATAAATAAAATTCTATTTAATTTACAAACCTTCTTCTATGTGTAGAAAACTTAAAATAGTAAACACATTTTTGTGGAGTTAAAATATATGTTAATCTAGTCGTTTTTATGATAATGTTAACTTGAGCTTTATCTGATTAAAAAGTATAGCCATAAATACTGAATTATCTTCGAACACCAACGCGGCGTCGCTTGACAAAGTAAACATTCATTGATCCCTTTCAATGTAACTGGTTTTCGTGTACCTATACTAAACCCAACAGTTCCCACGAGATTTGTCGATCGCGTTACAATACCTGGGGTCTTTTTCTCATGAGAAAAATTGTATTATTTTATTATTATTTCGAATGAATTCGGTGGTTTTTTTTATTATTGTTATTACTATTACTTTACATTTGGTACATAATAATATATAATATATATTTAGGTACATGAGAAATTATTCTTGAAGATAATACTTCTTTTCACATAACTTCGTTATTTGAAAACAGAAATATCTCAATATAATTTTACATAATATAAATAATAAACTATTACACACGGATATGATTTTAATGTCTGTAATAAATATATTCCATATCTACTAATTGACTCACCATTAAAATTATAGAATAATAGTTATTAATATTTAAAACGTATATACTACTGTCTATTATACAGTAAACAATAACTAATAAGTCAAATGTACAATATTAAAATATAATATCCTATATATTATATTGGAATATGTAACATAGCCAATAACATAATCTATGTAGGTAGGTATCAATAATAATTCAAAAAGTAAGTTCAACTTTCGGCATATATACATACAAGCAAATTTCTTGCTAAAAGAAAAAGTTTAATAAAAACCAATAATAAGTATCTACTCAATTGTAAAAAAAAAATAATAAATTCTAATTTATTTTTGATAATATTTAATTTATTATGTTCAATAAAATATATAGTTAACTATAATAAAGTAATACACCTAAACGTAAAAGTTTATCAACTAAAATGTGTTGCCAACACAAATAAACCAAATATTATAGTAGTATAATACTTCAACCAAACATTTTTTTTTTACTTTTCCGTTAAGTATTATAATTTATAACGGTCAAACATCAAGTTAGGTACACCTGTGTTTTTTGTTACCCGTATAGTTTTCTGAATGTAAGCTGTAGGAATAGCAAAATATTTAAATTCCTGTTTTGATCTAATTGTATTCCTTGTCTTGTGATGTACCACCCTATATCATTAAGTATAATTATGAACATATGTTCGCCATATAAATGTATTATGTATTATTACTGTCTTGTTACTATCTTGGAATTGGCTTTACAATAAGGTACTTACCTATTATTCTAAATTACATAATAATATATATTTAATTTGATATCAAATAGATAATAATACTGTATCGTTCAGTAGCTTGCGTGAGATATAGGATTCCAGAATTATTTTATGTTTTCGAGTTTAAAACATGCGTTTCGATTATCATAATTAGGTGTAGCATATAATGTATATATTATAATCGGAGTATAAAATTATTTAATTTTAATTATATACATTTATTGAAAAGAATTTCAATTTTTTTTTTCATACATACCTATTATATGTAATAATTACTATAATATTAATATTTTATTAGAGGAAATGTTTTTGAATTATAACTGGATTTAGGTAAATTGTTGTTTTCTTAAATTTTAAAATAGATTTTGACTACTTATATCAGTTAATAGTCAGACTCTTAAACGTAATTTAATGGTCGGTTATTGTTATAAAAAATTATAATTATTGTTATAAGCTATTGAAGATTTTTGTAAATTATAATACATTTTGTAATAGATTGTTTATAAAATATAAAAGTATTTATTTCAGCATAATAATAGTATTGTTATGGGAGTCAAATTAAATATTTATAGTACTTATATATTTTTTTTAAATGCGTCACGCAATATTAATGATACCATGTGTTTTTTTTTGTTACACAGGATATGCATGGCAAAACTGAAACAGGTCTAACACCGGAAAAGGATGTGAGCCAGGACTACGAGCTACTGGCATCCTTCCAAAATGGCTCTCATATATCCGTCGTCTTCCGAAGGGCTTGGGACACCTGTGACGCACACGACGACGTTGTATTTGGGGTATGTACTCGTAAACCTGTATTTTTTAAGATATCGTCCGAGTCATAATTTATGTCTGTTGAGGGTGTATACGGCCATAAAAACCGGTTGTATTATGTAAAAATAGTTTTAAATAATAGTAATAAAAACGGTAAATTACTTAATGAAGACTAATAATGGGAATTTGTCGAGATAGGATTGTTAAATAGTCTTATCGAATAAAACCAACGATTTCCCATAGTGATATTTGTTAATAGAAATACATTTAAAAGAATTGTATACCTGAAAGTAACGAAAAGTATCAATAATGCGTATATATTGCGTTTGGAGTACAGATTATAACTGTATATAACGCAGTGGGTTCTTTATTTAACATTATTTAATGTACCTATTTGGCCATACAATTTTTATTTTTGTATTTAATTAATTGTTTCAACATACTTAAAGTTTTAACAATGTTTTAATATTATTACATATATTTACAACCCCAAGTTATTAATCATTATATAGTTGTAATGTATACATTACATTATAATATAATAATATATAATAAAAGGGGGACGGAGGGGCAGACCCGAGTTCGATTCCTTGGCCACGACAAGTGGTTCGGACAAGTCACGGTGTCCGGAGAACAAGTGCCGCCATCCCCCACCCGGGCATGGCAGATACCTACAGGCGCCCATTTAAAAATTTTGCCAAACTCATCACACACGTGTAAAAACCCTACCATTACAAACCATACTACCTACAATCATAAAAACCCCCACAATCAGCTAATAGCTATAGTCGCCGGGCTTTGAAAGATCAATAAAAAAAAATAATGTATAATAAAATAAATACATTTGTTTATAAGAGGTCTGGTTGGACTCATGGATTTCTAGCTTAGAAGTTCTAAGAAGATGAATTTGAGATATTTGGGTAGCTGTGGTTTTAGTGATTTGGAAATCGAGAGCTCTTTAGGTTTTATTTAGATTATTTTTGAAGTCTTTGAACTGATTATCCGTAGGTATATTGATAGGTAAAGTAATCACGTGTCATTCTGTAGCTATTTACTGCACCGAGGAACTCTTAGTACTATATTCACAGAGATTTATTTTGGAGAATTTTTATTTTTAAATTTTTGTTTGAAAAGTAATGTATACATAAATTTACCTAATATGAGTTAAATATTATATATATATTAGAGGTAATGTGTATACTATTGGTATTTTATAAAATGCCTGGGAATTATGTACAATACTAAAATACTGCAGCCGGAAATCTATAAAAATTTTTTAATTACTTAAGCATTAAATGAAATTTCAAACTATGTATATATACATAATGTATTAAATATTCAAATGTATCTCGTCGATATTGATATTCGACAATGTTCCTTCGCCTAATATACATTCAATATCCATTAGTAATCTGTAATATCGATAAATTTAATGGTCCAGAGGTATAATGCGATAATTATTTCGTAAATTCGTCACCATCATTATAGTCATATAACTATAGTCTTTTTACATTTCAACCTTTGACAAAATTTCGTGAGTGGGTTATATATCATAAAGTATACTTATAGTAATTATATTATAAGCTGATGACCATCTTCGCTCAGAATCGTTTTTCGTATGAATTGATTTTTTATTTAATTTACTCAAAATTTAGCACATCCATTACAGTGACTTTCTAGAAAAATAATAGTAATAATATCGTACAATAATTATAAATTATAATAGTTATAACTGTGTACTACCATAAAAATCAATTTATTTTTGTTTCTTATTTAAGAATGCATTATACTCTGTAATATTAAATTGGTACTTTGTAATAAATGTTTTTTTGTACCTACTTATGAAATTATAATTGTCTTTGATTTAGTATTATTATGATAAAAGGAAATGGATTTTTCTAGTGATTTCCCTATTCTGCAGATTGTCAATCTGTTGTTTGCCATTTAATGAAATGCCCATTTGTTATAGAAAATACTTAGGAAATGTATGTAAAAAAAAATATATAATACACCTTTTTAAAAATGTCCAGGTATTATATATAATTCCTAGGCATTTCATAAAATACCAATATTATACACTTTACCGCTAACATAAATATTTAATCGTATAACAGTGTATGGAGTGCTCATACAATATTAATAAGCTTCAATGTAAGTTATAGGTACTTTTGAACAAGAATATTTAGATAGATAGGTACTTACAATAAAAGACTAATAATAACCAACAACAACACGTAACAATAACAAAGATGGACAGCTGATAGTCTATCAAATATGTCAGCTTTAAATCTGCTCGGGAAAGGTAAACCTTCAATAATGTGTGACATGAACGAAACGTAGATAAGTGTACCTACCTATATTAATAGTCCAGTGTCCGACACGCCACAATAGGTTCAAGACGTTCAAATATTATTATTAATATATATATTATATAATTATGAATTACCTAAGCTTATGGACTACATCAACGGACCCTAATTTTTCGTCCCAGATAAACCGTGGGAATTTCGGGTTTAAGGACGTCGTTGTCGGTGATCTTCAAAAAATTGCGGCGGTTAAGGAAAGCGTAGTAGAGCCGAGCCCCGAAAACGACGAAATACATCGCAAGCACGCAGTACAAATAGTTTAGGTGTCGGGCGTAGGTTTTCGACGTGAGCAACGACGACTTGCTGACGGACAATAGGACTTCTTGAGTTCGATTACCTTCTACATAACACGTGTAATTTCCGGAGTCGTCTGCAGTGAGTCTTATCAAGTACAACGTCCCGAACGTGTCCAGGAACGCTCCCGATGTGTCGTCGGCGGTCGACTCGGTTACAGTCAACAAAAGTCCATCTTTCCTCCACGTCACCTGACCCACAACGAGAAGCGAGTCGATAAATAAGATGGTGAAAACAATGGTCAAGATTGAAAAATTTGGGAACCACGATATTTGACGGTAATGGTTCAACGTACCGACCGTATATTTGATGTTATGAACATCCGATGCTACAGATGCATCCAATTTTTTTTACACTATGAGATACCTACAGGCTGCATTGTAGCCGTCGTCACGTGATGTCAAGCATTTACGGATGGTACACACAATTATATAATAATATAGATGCTCGTCGGTGATATTGTTTGATAACAGTTAGGTTGTGGTGAAAATTGTGAGTCTGCCGTTTGACTAACTCGCAGGGAATTTAATTTTTCAAATATTTTTAATATGATTCTTTAATTTTGTATAGGTACCTTCAATTGTCCAAATTAAAAGTATAAATATGTTATATTGTCATACAGACAGTGCACTAACTAAAATAATACTTTATTAAGATGTAAGATATAGAAATAATTAGGTATAACCTTATGGTCACGCTGATAACATAATAAATTATTCAGTGAAATCAATTCATCGATACGCTATGCAACTATAGAAGATCAAAGCTACCTCAGTGCAATAATAATTTACGACACCAGTCCCACCTCTATATAACGCAACTTCTGCAGTATAATTCCTATATGGTTTGTTAACCCAGATCGTAGGTCAAAGGAATATACCTTTTTATCGGCGGTCGCTTCAGCGCAAACCAATGTCATGCTGGACCCTTCTTCTAGCACAAACGTGTTCCTGTACTTGGGAAGTCTGCGCCTGTTCGAGATTTGACAGTAGGCGTAACATGTTTCGGATAGTAAAAAGTCGGGCACCTTGGACAGCTTGGCGGCTAGACCCGGCGAAATCGCCATCTCCGCAGCGGGTAGCCCTATCGACCTGAAAGCTTCGAACCGGTTAGATATAATAATAATATCATAAACGGACACTTTGTTCGGTTTACTATATTTTGATTTATATACACCGTAAAAAATCACAATGGTAAAATAAAAAGTTACTATCAATAATACGGCTGTAACCTATAACGTACCACTGGCCATGTCTCCGGTAGTTGTTTTACCGTGTCGACACTCGGATTTTGTAAAATATTTATTTTAAATATTACATTTTGAGTTTATACTTTGGTATAGTATATTACGATTTTAATGGTATTATTTTTAGTTGTAACTGGATTTTTTAAAATCCATTTTGTACGGAATTTTATTTTTTTGCTCACTCTAGTTGGTCGGAAATTCAGTAAAGGTCGTTGGATGCGGTGATTTTCTATCTTTTTTTAACACACGTTAAACATAGGAATAACGACCTAAGCGACTGACAAAAATTAAGGTACTTCTAGTTGTTCAATTTAAAAAATGAAAAGATGTTTGAATTGGTATACAAGTTTACTTTGCATCGGTCGAAGTACTTTTTCAATTGTAGCAATATTTTTATGAGAATAAATATTTTAAATTTTATAAATTTGTCAATTTTTAATATTAAATATATATTAAAAAAATATTAAAAATATGCTTCGATCGATGCAAAGTAAACTTGTATACCAATTCAAACATCTTTACATTTTTTAAATCGAACAACTAGAAGTACTTTAATTTTTGTCAGTCGCTTAGGTCGTTATTCCTAGTTTAAACGTGCGTTGGACAAATACAGATAATCACCGCATCCAACGCCCTTAATGTGAGAGTTAGCGGGCTATCAACCAACTTTTTCGGGGCCTATGATAACATTTCGTATTATGCAAGTATAATATATTATAATAATATTACCTGCAAGCCATGCGGATATAGTCTTTGAAACGGACCCGACAAGCAGCCCTCCGGTACCGCTTGCCCGCACACCCATCGCACGGTCCCCATGTATCCCAGTCCACATCTATTTTCCGAACTCGAGGAAAAGCCTTGGCGATCGGCGTCAAGTACCGCGACTCATACTGCGTCAATCCTGCCATCGAATCAGCAGTCACCGCAGAGACATCGTCACCGGGCTTTCCCCCCTCATTCGCCGGTAGTAGGTCGAGGGCAAATTCGATATAGTCGTCAGTCTCGAGACCGGAACACGAGTACCGGCCGGTGTCGGAAGAAGTTAAGTTCCGGACTACCAGACGATGGTCAGGCATCATGTACACCCGGTTCGACTCCATCGGGTCTGACATACCCAGTACCATTTCCTTCCGACCCGCGGCGGTGTCTTTCGAGTACAGCA